CAAGCCACCGTGCTCTAGGAACCAGGGTACGCTCCGGGGAAGTGAACACCTATTGAGGCTTCCGGGCAGCCAATCAGTCGGGATGACCAACTGCGCGGATAGAGTCGTTAGCCGGGAGCGGGGTAGTGTTCTCAGAGTGTGATACTCGAGCTCAACAGACCCAGGGAGACTGTGATACGCTCAGAGCCTTATAACTCCGGCAGGTATGCAGGGTAGGGGAAGAGCGGGGCGAGTGGCACAGGGTGGGGACGATGCTTGCGCGAGTGGGGGCGATCCGATGCTTGATGCCAGCACTCACTAGTTAGATCTCGACCTAATGACGCGGGAGCGGGCTGCGAACGCCAATCGGAGGAGAGGGAGGGGTGGATGGGTGTGGATGGAGGTTGGATGACCTCGATGTAGTGGTGCAGAGGCGTTGCCGGCACTAGGCGCAAAGCAGACGCAGACTAGAGTCACACGAGGGATGTCTAGCCCACAAAGACCAAGTTAACATAGCTCTACCTACATACAGGCAATCGAGATACTCACCTAGCCCACAAAGACCAAGAGGTCGAGATGAGGGCTAGGACACGAAGTGCAAGTGCTAAGAGAGTCCGCGATACGGGCGCTTAAGCGCGGGAACAACCTTCCAATATAGTAGCAGGCAGAGAAAAGGCAAAGAAAAGACGAAAAATAATACATAGGGCGAGTCCAGAGTCCGTTCCACGACACCTGTCATGGAGAACAGATTCCTGGAGTTGGAGAGCACTGAGTAGCTATTTTGTTGAGGGTATGGGATGCTTTGGATTTTATTCAATATATGGCATGTGTTTGCATCCTTGTAGGGCTCGTTCGCTGATGTCTGCTTTTAATGGAGCCCTGTGATTCATCAACATCTTTTTTGCCACAATCTACACTCTACAGACCTGCTGATAGAAGGATACACACAGGTCATTGAAGTTCCACTCTGATGTGACCGGTCAAATATGCTATATATGACGTTAACACAACACGCAACCCAACACTACATGTCCATGCCACCCTCACTCCCAGTGACGTCGCCCATGGGCTCATCTTCCTCCTCACTCTGCTGTGGTTTATCTTGAGGGTCACCTTCGTCATTGCTGTCCTCAACACTCGGCATATCGTCATCGTTGTTTGACCGCAATCTCCTCATGGTGCGGAATTTTCCCTACCAAGAGTTGTCAGATGTTGTGGACGCTGTAAGTCCAAGAGATCCCAACGACACGCATGACCTGCACATCTGTGAGCCGGAAGAATTGTAGTTGAAGCCCATGCTACACTGACATCACCTGGGTGGCCGTGTGTAATCTGAATCTGGTGGTCTTCGGTCCAGATCCAGTTTACAGAGTAGTCCATGACAACCCCAAGCCACTGCCCACCCATGGGAGGGCACGGGCTGTTCTGGCGCGGGTTCATATACACCCTTTGGGAGTTCAGGAATCAACCTGAGGGGGAGTGACACAGGAACATACCAGTCATCCATACGGTAGATGGTGCCCTAGAACTCAAAGCACTGGTTGGTGATTGACCCTAGCCCAGTGAGCCTGCAGTGTGACATGAGAGCTGGAACACAAGGAGAGAGTGGTAGACCTACGCGGTGCGCTGGAGTGTCTGATTTTGACGCAGCTGGGATGACCACGACAGGCGAGGTTCTTGTCCAATTGGTGTATCAGAAGCACGCACAATCTTGGAAAAATTGAGGGGCGGGTTTTGGGAAGCCGGATCGGCTCGCCAAGCAGAAAAGGAGGATGGGGCTGACAACTTATGGTGGGTAGATCTGGGCATGCTGGCTACAAAAGGGGGGTGGGCAAGGGATGGGAGCAAGCTGGCAGAGCCTAACTATATAGGGACAGACACCCGAGCTGGACGTCACATCGATTGGGTTTGATGCCACAAGAGTCATGACTGTGACGTCACCCAAGGAAATTTTCTGCGTTAGCACAAGCATCTCATTGAGATGGACTTTGAATCACACACATGACTCAAGGTCTATCCACTGTCTTGACAGCTGTTTTTGCAGCCGTTATCAGAAGACAGCTAGCCTGTGATGGGAACCAGTCACGACCCTGACATCACAGTGGGAAATCTTATTGGTCAGCACAGTCACATTCTCCTCAGCCCTCATGCATCCAGTCGGTGGCTTGATCACTTGACTCTGTAGACTCGACCCCATCACATGGCGTGCACATGATTGAAAGGCTAGGGTGTTCATAGGCTCTATGGTTCAGCCGACTCACGACCTGCACAGTGCGCCCTCTTGAGCGCACACGTACAGCGACACCCCGTTCGGTTGTTGCATGTCTTCAGGCCAGGATGGGCTCGATCATTGAGGTGTCAATTGGGTGAGAGCAGTGGCTGGACGAGCCCGAGCGAGAGGTCGTATGTACAGCCCCACGCATATGCTATACGGAACAGCAATAGGTCAGTGCTTGCCCTTCCTCGCCCAGCCGCTTCAGATTGAACACGGAGAGGCAGGACACACCAACGTCATCGATGGCGAGGATCCCATCGAGGTTCCTCAGCCTATTTTGCGTCGATCCGGACGAGTATAGCGTTGATTGGGCAGGGTGTACTCCCCCGGCAACGACATCGGGCCCATCATTGTGGTAGCACGCGTGGAGGACGTGTATGATGGATCTGTGGGAGGTGGGCCAAGCAGACACAACTGATTATCATTATTTGCTGGACAACTCAGCCAGCCGAGCACTGAGCGCCACGAACGCCGGGTTGTGAACGTCTGCCCGTGCTGCCTCCGCTCATCCTTCGTTGTCGTCCGCACTCCCTCCCCAGCCAGTCTTCCAGAGCTTGCCCATGGACGGCAGCATCGACTCTGGCCTTGCCGGGTTGAAACTGGGCGCAACTGAGGACATCAGGATGGACGACGCCCGCTCCTCCACCGGCACCACCGAGTCCGATAGTGGGGCCACCACGCGCGCCCTCAGCCCCGTCGCTGGCGATGTACGTTCGCGCCCAGAGACCTCGACGACACCGAACAAGGGAGGGAGGCGCAAGCGTCGCTGCATGAACGAAGCGGACATGCTCCGCGCGCAAAACCAGAACTTCAGTCTCTAGCCCCCCAATGTGTAGGTCGTTTGCCGCTGTCGCCATCACCGTAGTCTTCCCGTGCCATCCGTGCCTTGTCCTCTTCTCCCATATCGCATCTCTGCCCCCCTGGCCTGCTCCCTGCAGCGTGCGCACGCACGCTTTGCACCGCCGTTGCCATGTAAACACATTTGCACCTCTCTCTCCCTGGACATTGACGGTACACTACCGCAGGACGCTAGTGTATCCGCTCTCGCATACTTTCCCCTCACCCCCTCTCGCATATCTTACGGACTTTGTCTCGTCTCTCCTGCTCCCCCACCACCGATGCGTCGGGGTTTTCCGGACCGTGTCTCGTTTGTATCGCTGTACTAGTAGTTTTGTACACATGCGCAAGGCGCAATCCACGTCGTTGATGTATACGGTTGGGGTTGCAGTGTGCTGCACAGTGTAATCGGTGAAGTACGTGCATTGTTGCAACAATTGATGGTCCGAGGACCGTCAACGCAGAGTAAGCCCTGTCACCGTGGAGGCGCGCATTTGCCGGGCCACGTCCAGCAGTTTCCTCCCACCGAGCGACAGTCTGTGGACCGCCGGCCTGCGCGCAGTGACTGTAGAGCGCTACCTCTGCCCCGCCCCCTCCCCCCGCCATGGCAGTCCACGGACCGTTGCGCGTTGTAGTGGCCTGTAAACTTGATACCCGGGCTGTTCTCAGTGTAGCCAGCTGGACAACACAGACCAGCCTCGGAGGCCAAAGTTGCGTCAGCATGACGATTTCTACGCGTAGTTTGTTTTCTTCATTTCACCTTTCTTTGGTTGAAAACGTTGTTGTATATTAACTGTATAATAATCACTGACTGATTCCAATCCTACGGAACGCACTCGGCTTCTACAAATGCCCAACAAAGGGCCTGAAACCTGTGCTATACTATGGTGCAGTTCATCTAAACATCACCACTTTTGAACAGCGTCTCGGGAGCGCCCAGATGTCACCCGTTTTCTTAGTTCTCTAGCCAATCGCACTATTTTCACTGCCTGAACAATTTCCCTAGAGGGTTTTTCGAAATTCTCAGTCTGAGCAAAATTGAGGTTGGAGCTATTGCGCCACGTGCTGATAGATGACTAATGAGATGACGTCACCGGTCAAGCGCCGGAGCGATGGTCTCCAGAATCCGGTGGTGAGAAGCTTGTACTGACAAGAACTGGACTCCTTCACCTTGGCCTGGCTGTTCTTCGCATTCAGACCCTCTGTGTAAGCATCAATTAATTTCCAAGCGCAATTCTCCCACTTCCAGATGAGCTCCACAAAGCTGTTGTCTTCCTGGCACTGCACAAGTGCTCTGTCTTGTCCCACTCAAGCCCAAGCTGCTGCAGCTTTTGGTGCAGCTATTTGCTGTCAATTCATGGATAGAAGCAGTAACAGGGTGTATAGTACATAGATACATGTATTAGAGTCCCAAAAATGCGTGCCGAGTGTCCATCTAACAGCTTGTAGCCTTGTCTCACTTGAGCCACTGCCCCAAAAAAACTGAGTCGCCGCTATTGCGCTTATATAAGCGCTTACATAAGCTGTCCAAAAGTGGTGGTGTTTAGATGAACTGCACCATATAAAGCGTTAGCTGCTGATGGTGGCTGAGCGTCCCTGGGCAGGGCCAGTTCGTGGCGGGCCATACGGAGTGTTGTGGAGAGCAGGCGGATGCTGTCCTGTACCGGCTGTCATCGTTAACGCCTTGTGAACTGCACATAAAGCAGCGCACTATCTTTGGTCATTCGCCTCTTTTTCCCCCACTCCCCCCCATCCTTGCGACATCGCTTCAATTCCCGCAACCAGACATGCCGAGTCACCACCATGCAGAGCTCCTGCTCCGTTGCGCAGTGGAGCTGCATAAAGAGGGCAAGGACATGTGGGCTGATTTTCCTGTGTGGCAGTGTCATGTTGGCACACCAGCTGCACCATGGTCCGACAAGCGGTTTTGGACGTGGACGACGAGGAGCAACACAAGGCGATCAGAAGGCTTTTCTTAACAGCTCTTATTCGTGGCAGTGTTCCAGCACGTATCGATAAAAACGATACCGCTATGAACCCAACTGCCCTGAAGAAATGGATCCACTCCCGATGGAACAATGTCTGGGGCCTCCGTGACCTTACCGAGGAGCTGTTGGATGGCTTTGACATCTTATTAAAAACAGCTATCCACATTGATAGGGTGCGTCATGGTAACATTAGGGTGACAAGGGCTGACTTGTTTGCAGATCCCTTATTCGGTCAGCCTGATGGGACCTGTACGGACTCCGCTCGTCCGAGTGCTTTTCGGAGAAGAGGGCATGATAAAAAATCGCATGATCCCGCTCTCCCCACTTGAACGGTTTGCCAGTGGTCTCGTCTCAATCCAGTTCGATCAATGGAACTACGAAATTCGCCACTGCATCAAGGCCATCAACGAGCTGAAAGTACATACCAGCAAAGCACAGCAGAGTAAGCCCGTCCGTTATCTGACACTTCTTAGCCACTCAAGCCTGCGTAGACATCTCAAGTGGGGAAGAAGTGTCTGGGCCCTTGCTGCACAAGTACATCAACGGCATGCGCTCCATGCAGAAACACCTTGCTATCTTCATCAGCGATGGCAAATATGGGAGTTTGCGTCTCGCAATAGATAAAACACTTAACGACGCACAAGAGGCATTGGAACACGACATTCGTGCAGCATGCTTCGAGACACCCAGTGCGTTGTAGCTTGCAACTCTAGCTCCCCATCTGCTGAGCCTAAACCACCCAGCCGTCGCTTTATGGTTAGCTGAAGCCGTCCGGTCTCTCCCGAGTCCCTCCGAGGCCCAGGCCATAAGGGACCACATGGACAGCTTGGTCAGCGATGAGATCCACGTCGAACACATCGGTGCTATGCTCTCCGAGGAAGAGCTCGTGGACTGGCAGTCGGGGTGCGAGCAATATGAAGAATGCACAATCGAGCAGCATACATAGCAGTACATGATATGCATACGCGAATATATGCATAAACATTGGTGTATGCATACAACTGTAGAGGCGCCAATGTCCGTAAACAAAACAACGCAATGGGGAATTGAACACCCGACCCAACCCAAAAGGGGGAGGTGGGAGGCAATTCTACCACTGCGCCATGAGTCCATTAAAACGGCTTATATGTTTCTTTATATGTACCGTTATATTTTCTCAATACGTCGACTTAATGTACTCCCGTCCTCCCCAGCTGACCATCCTCTCACAACTGTGGGTAATGCAAGATGCCAACTATGATCTCCCACACATGTCCAACGGATATCAGCTCACCTGTGCAGCACACAACGTATCATTTGCTTCCTGTAGAGGCGTAAGTGACTGTGCCGACGACACAAGTAAGTTTATGCATACACCCTGTTTATGCATACAATTCGTTTATGCATACAACACATTTATGCATACAACACGTTCATGCATATGGCCGGTTTACGCATACAGCCAGGTTATGCATACAGCCCGGTTATGCATACGACGTGTTTATGCATACGACGTGTTTATGCATACGACGTGTTTATGCATAGTTCATGCATACGCGGCGTTTATGCATACCAACGTCTATGCATAAACGGTTCATATGCATAAATGTGTCGTATACAGGTGGGGCAAGACAATACTCATGCACCTTCAACTTCAGGGCCGAGTTAAGCCGAGATAACGAGCCGGCGTAAGCAAGGGACTGGGGACATCGAGTAAGAAGAGAGGCGAAGCAAGATACGACACGTCACATGGAGAGCGAGCACGAAGAGAGTTGGATCGCGGGTGTCAACGGGTACAAGCGCTGGTGAGCTAGCGAGAGCGCGGGGCAAACGAGCTCAGTCTCGGGGGGAAAAGACTCATGATATCAAAGGTAAGTACCTAGCGAGAGCGCGGGGCGAACGAGCTAGGTAACGAGTAAGTATGCAGTCCAGAATACGAAGTATATGTATTATGGATGGGGAGCTCACCTCAGTCTCGGGGGGAAAAGACTGAGGTGTGCGGGTCGTGTGAGAACCGGTATAAGTGATGCGGGTGCGTACGGAAGCTAAGGTACAGGTACGCAAAGAGATCTCGAAATGATACGAACAGGGGAAAACACAAGGTGCGCACCGGACGCAACTCGTCCGGGCCGGGACGTCTACCGCAGTCGCGGCTTGCCGTCCAACAGCGGGAACGCGCAGTGCGTGAGGAGGACGGATTAGACGAGACCGAGGAGGATAACGAGCGTGTAAAAGACAAGATTGAGGGCTAACGGGAACGCGCGGCACGTCCAGATGCGTTTCGTCTCCACGCGGAGGCTGGTGTATCGATCCTGGGGTGAACGCGGGCGGATCGCAATGGGTGTGCAAGGCGCGATGGGCGCGCGAGACGCGATGCATGACGTGCCCGGAGGACACGCCCGAGGACACGATGCATAGGAGTCAGGCAGAGGCGCACTAGCGTGTCAAGGGACGACGAGTGGATGTGAGTCGTAGACAATGGAGCAACGTTGCAAGGATGCAGGGGTCGAGGGAGAGCCCTGGCGTCGGTGCCTGGTGGATGCGTCGACGGTCATGGGTGTGAGGATGAGGCCGGACTGGGTGAGTACGTACCTCACGCTCGCCGCGCAGGCCGGGATGGCCGAGTGAGGTGGAAGGGCGCGCACCGGCCAGGGACCACGCGGAGGTATTGCTCGGGCACAGCCACCCCCACAGTGCCTGGATGACGTGCGGGTCGATCACATCCCGCTTTTCTTGGGCCCTTTGTAGAGGGCCGTAGAGGGCCTAGTAATGATTTGTTTCGTTGAATGCTTCATACTATTCGTGTTCTTGGAAGTACGCGCAGGCGGGCCGGGAGACGCGTCTCCGAGAAAAGCGGGATGTGATCGACCCGCACGTCATCCAGGCACTGTGGGGGTGGCTGTGCCCGAGCAATACCTCCGCGTGGTCCCTGGCCGGTGCGCGCCCTTCCACCTCACTCGGCCATCCCGGCCTGCGCGGCGAGCGTGAGGTACGTACTCACCCAGTCCGGCCTCATCCTCACACCCATGACCGTCGACGCATCCACCAGGAATCGACGCCAGAGCTCTCTCTCAGCTCCTGCGTCCTCGCAGTGTCGCGTTGCTCCATTCTCTACGACTCACGTTCACTCGTTGTCCCTCGACCACCCAGCGACCACGCTAGTGGCCACGCGCCTCCGCCCGGCTCCCGTCCATGTCATTCTTGCGCACGTTTTCCGCGCACATTGTCTGTCCCACCTCACACACGCCCATCGCGATCCGCCCGCGTTAACCCTAGGATCGATACGGCAGCCCTACGCGACACATCAGTCTAGACGCATCGCACGTTCCCCTTCGCCCTCGGTGTCGCCTTCGCCCTCAATCTCGCACTCGCGCTCATCATCCTCCTCGGTCTCGTCTATTCTGACCTCCTCGTGCACCTCGCGTTCCCGCGATCCAACTCTCTTCGCGTTCGCTTTCCCCGCAAATCTTGCTTCACCCCGGATTCCTCATTTCTACGCTTACACCAGCCCACTATCTCGCCTTCACCCCCATGGACTCGGACCTGGAGTTGACGATACATCACTGTCGTCTTGCCCCACCGATATACGCTGCGTTTACCCATATGAAGCGTTTATGTGCATAAACGGGGTGTATGCATAAACGGGGCGTATGCATAAATGCGCCGTATGCATAATCACACCGCATGCATAATCACGCCGCATGCATAATCACGCCGCATGCATAATCACGCCGCATGCATAAACCGGCTGTATGCATAAACCGGCCGTATGCATAAACCAGCCGTATGCATAAACGAATTGTATGCATAAACGGGGCGTATGCATAAACCGGATGTATGTATAAACACAATCTTAGACATAGGTAGGCATCTCGAGGAGAGGGCGAGTATGCAAGTAGTGTTGAGAAGTATGACTGGACTGTGATGAACGACGAGTTCAACAAAAGCCTTGTGTTTATGTCAGTATTGAAGAGAGTATATATACTGTAAGCAACGCACAAACAACATGGAACATTGGTGTAGTGGTCTGTTGCGTCGTATGTGTACAATGTCAAGAGGCTGCGGGTTCGATTCATGCGGCTGTCCTTTTGTTTACGGATATTGACGCTCTTACAGCTGTATGCATACTTCAATGTTTATGCATATATCTGTGTATGCATAAGGTACGGTATGCATAAACCCGGGGCGCTCTCTCAGGGATTTATGCATAACCTGTACTGAGGCGGCTCTCGAGCAGATGCGCTGGGCGATGGGTTGGCCTGCAAATCTGACCGTTCCTCCCCCTCCACACAATCAAAATCACGGCGAAAACGATGGTGACTACACTACCCACGGCCCCGAGTTGCTCGTGCTTGATCGCCCGGCAATGCCTCACTTTGCGCAGTTCATTGACACTAAACGTGAGCTCACCCAGGCTGCAGGAGCAAAGTGGGAAGAGGCCAAGCTCAGTCCGGGGCGCATTGAGCGACTTACACTCATGTGGCATCAGTACGGTGGTGTCCTCTTGATCCTGGACAAACCTTTCCAGGGACACCCCGCCATGCTCTGCAATGAGGTCGGGTTGGGCAAGACCATCCAGGCCGTATTAGTAATGTGCCATATTGATTACTCTTCCAACTACTATGTAAAGCACGGCAAGTGGCCTGGTCAGTTCGGTGGTGAGTGTTCGTAGATGGTCTTTGCGGTTCATTGACACTCACAAGCTTATAGCTGACCCGCGAAAATACAAGCTCAGCCCATTTCAGGAGAGGGTGCACGTTGTTGTTGTCCCTACCGGCCTGACTGCCCAATGGAGAAGCGAGTTGGACAGACTTCTCAAGCCACAGGACGTGACTGTGCTTCCCTATGAAGGTACCAGTACCGATGCCAGCCGTGCACCTGTATTCGAAGTTCTTCGCCACATGAAGCAGTCCATGGCCATTCTGGTGGTCTCTGCGACGGTCAGTCCGCATTGACTCTTGCAGCGATGTTTCTCACCCATCGTCACTCAGGCACTCAGTTACGACCTCGCAGCCGCCTGCCCCATGTGACGCGGGAGCAGGCCGCGAACGCCAATCGGAGGAGAGGGAGGGGTGGATGGGTGTAGATGGAGGTTGGATGACCTCGATGTAGTGGTGCAGAGGCGTTGCCGGCACTAGGCGCAAAGCAGACGCAAACTAGAGTCACACGAGGGATGTCTAGCCCACAAAGACCAAGTTAACATAGCTCTACATACATACAGGCAATCGAGATACTCACCTAGCCCACAAAGACCAAGAGGTCGAGATGAGGGCTAGGACACGAAGTGCAAGTGCTAAGAGAGTCCGCGATACGGGCGCTTAAGCGCGGGAACAACCTTCCAATATAGTAGCAGGCAGAGAAAAGGCAAGGAAAAGACGAAAAATAATACGTAGGGCGAGTCCAGAGTCCGTTCCACGACATTACCCCCCTCCTAAAACCCATCCGTCGCGGATGGACATGATCCTCCCCTCCTGCCAGTCTTCCTTCTCCGTTTCTGCGTGCTCAGGGTGCTCAACCCTCCTCCACGGCAGCGCGGCGAATAGAGTCGCAGATATCTTGCGAGGCGCGTTGGGATTGCGCTCGTAGAACTCTGCGACCTTCTCTGGGGCATTGGCGACATTCGCCGCTGGTTCCCACGAGTCGTCCCCTTCTCCGTATCCCTTCCACCGCACCTGGAACTGAAGCCGGCGGTTGAAGAACCGACTGTCCAGAATCCTCTCCACCTCGTACTCCTCCTCTCCGTCCACTTCCACTGGCTCTGGCGGTGGTGCTCGTCGCCCGTTCACCTCGTTCCCTCCATACTTGGACAGCCGATCCACATGTACGACCGGGTGGATCTTGAGCGTGGGTGGGAGTTTGAGACGATAGGCTAGGTCACCCACGCGTTCGACCACCTTGTAGGGTCCCAGCTGCCGGACACCAAGCTTGCGCGTTGCCTGGTGCACACTGATGTCTTTTGCGCTAAGCCAGACCTTGTCTCCGACTTCGAATGCCTTCCGATCACGAGGGTGTTCCTCTGCGAAGTGAACCTTCATCTTCGCCTTGCCTGCGCGCAGCACTGATTCAATGTCCTTCTGTGCTTGGCGCATGCCCTCTAGACGATCCTCGAGATGAGGGAAGCGAGTCTCTGTTCCCACTGGTACCGTGAAGTCTGGCTTGTACCCGTACATGACCTCGAAGGGCGTGTGGTTGTGCGCAGAGTGGATTCGGCTGTTCAGTGCGAACTCGGCAGTTGGCAGATAGCGTACCCAGTCGTCTTGCCGTTTGCGCACGAACAGGCGCAAGTGCTGCTCTACTTCCTGGTTCGTTCGCTCGGTCTGTCCGTTAGACTGAGGGTGGTACGCGGTGGTGAGTGCATGTTCAATGCCGAGCTTGCCGTAGAGTTCGTGCATGACACAAGCGGCGAACTGGGGACCACGGTCTGACACGATCTTCCGAGGGACACCATGTAGGCGGTTAGGTTAGGTAGGAGTAGACGCGCCCGAACGGAGCCGACGAAGGAGGCGGAGTGAGGAGTGCGGCTACGGGTGAAGAGAGTGCTCGAAAGGAGGCAAGATCTGGGGGTTTCCCCTCCAGAGACCTTTCGACTTTATGCAGTCTCATCAGGCCTGTTATTTCGAGTAAGTCAGTGATGTACTTATACGGGCGAATCTGAGTAACTCTTATGGCTCTACTGACCGTAATGCACGGCTCATGATTCGCTGCTATTCTTGTGTCTCGTAGTCAGCATAGAAGGGGGTTTTTCAAGAACCCCTTTGAGTTAGGGCCCCACGCCAAATACCTTAGGGCAAGCTTAGACGCCACACGTCTTGCCCTAAGGGGGTAAGGGCAGGATTTTTCCTTGCCCTAATGGGGGTTATGGCAGGTTTTTCCTTGACCTAAGGGGGTAAGGGCCAGACATGGTGGCTTTGTGCCGTACAAAGCTGATAAGATATCATGGTGTACTCACAACCTGCGGTCAACCGCACATTTTCACAATAGATGAGCTGCAGGATAGTCACAGACAAAACCTGCGGTTTCCCGCAGGATTTGTGCCCTCTCAATGTTCACAATCATCTTCAATATGCAAGAATATTACTACATAAATACATCCAAGCTCATGGTTGTTCTTTATATATACAGAAGTGAGTGCATTGCACTCACACTAGTATTTCAGAATACTACGTGATTCTTTACATCGCATATCACTGGCTGTAGAAGCGAACTTATGCTCAATGAAACCTGTAGTCTGCTTTAAGTGTCAGCCACTGTCCCCACAGTTTATTGTCAAATCTCTGTGCATTCACTGGTTTCACCTGCTCTTTGTGTAAAGTACAGTGAATGAAGTGAAGTTTTGCCACCCAGCAACATTACATATTGTGCTCAACCCACATTCACAGAATATTTTACTACTTCCATTGGCAATGAACACCTCTGCCAGCAACGCAAGCACATTACCCCAGATCATGTTGTGGTATAGTGACGATGGTTGGGGTTGTCCATGTCGCAGCTATCGTTCTTGAATCCAGAGGCAAGCCGCAGGTTTTGCTGCTTTAAATACACCCTTGCTCAAGGTTTCTGAGATTCATATACCATCCCTGTCATTTTGAAATCAGTGGAACAACACAGGGGTTTAAACAAATAACAACAGAGTTGATGGAAAGTGAATATCCCAGCGGATGCGCATGGATCCCGTCTAGCATATGGACCGAGTATGAGCGACCACATAGCAACATTGTCAAGGCACACAATCATAGCTCCCACTTGTCACACACCATCTCTGAAACAATCCATTCAACTTATTTACCCATCTCATATATCTCCAAGTATCACTTTAATATTGATTCATAAACTTGGTGAAGACTACATCCAGCGTACACTCTATGTTTTAACTGTTTACTGTAGATACAATAGCAGAGGACTCACCCCAAGGTGGAAGCAAGGAATGACACGAACCCATAAACAGATAACATCAATCTCACAGGCACAGGATGTCCATGGCTATTAAATTTCTGATGAAAGAGGAACAGCGTAACAGGTGGTATGATATCAGGAACACTGAAAATCAAATTGATCAAAATACCAACGGACAACGAGATACGCGACCCAAACAAGTGCACACTCACAAAACGTTGGTTTTGTAGGCTGTCTATTCGCCTGGTGTTAGTGGACACAATGATATGCTGTGTACTGAATCCGAGAGGTGGTTGGTGAAAAACTAAGCGGACAGTACTGTGCGACGTTTTAGGGCGACGTACCACATAGTGCAGTGAAATCCAAGTTTCAGGTATACTGGAGACCCAGAGGTACTCGCAGAAAGTCTTTTGATTGCAGCGCACAAAAAACCAGGGAGGAATACGTATTTTTGGGAACGATAGACTGTATCTTTGGAAAGTGGAAATTCTGAGAAGACATGGGGTACATATCTTCTCATGCAGATATGATATTGACAGAATGCTTGCTGTATAATGCAGCTCTGCTCTGGTATCACACATATCTGAAATTTCAAGTGTGCTGGTGATGAGATGCGTAGAGGGTGCGGTATGTCATTATTTTGTGACATACGATATACTGATATGGGATTGGATTGGAGTGACGTCAAACAGCCCAGAATGGAATCAGGTGAGCGGCAGCTCAACAATGCAGAAGAGATCTTGAAAAACGGGCAAGAACTCAGGGAGGTATGCACTTAGACCCAGAAGTGTGCTTTCAGTAGAAAGCGAGTGCAGAGCATTTAATATAGTGCACATCTCAGGGTCCCAGTGCATGCCTCCCTGAGTTCTTGCCCGTTTTTCAAGATCTCTTCTGCATTGTTGAGCTGCCGCTCACCTGATTCCATTCTGGGCTGTTTGACGTCACTCCAATCCAATCCCATATCAGTATATCGTATGTCACAAAATAATGACATACCGCACCCTCTACGCATCTCATCACCAGCACACTTGAAATTTCAGATATGTGTGATACCAGAGCAGAGCTGCATTATACAGCAAGCATTCTGTCAATATCATATCTGCATGAGAAGATATGTACCCCATGTCTTCTCAGAATTTCCACTTTCCAAAGATACAGTCTATCGTTCCCAAAAATACGTATTCCTCCCTGGTTTTTTGTGCGCTGCAATCAAAAGACTTTCTGCGAGTACCTCTGGGTCTCCAGTATACCTGAAACTTGGATTTCACTGCACTATGTGGTACGTCGCCCTAAAACGTCGCACAGTACTGTCCGCTTAGTTTTTCACCAACCACCTCTCGGATTCAGTAGACAGCCGCTCTCACATGCCTCTGTCTAATCTAGAACAATGTGTCGCAATTTAACAGCAACAAGGACCACTTCAACACCATTGAGTCAATGTGATTGAGTTATGACTCTTACGTGTTCGGTGGGAACTACGCAATTATCTATGGGGTAATATTGTCAGCGAGAAAGCCAGCAAATGAATATAAGGTTCTCGCCTGTTACAGTCATTCGAGGGATGACCACACCGTGCATTTCTAACCTATCACAAACCAGTTGAAGCCAGCGATCATCACATGATTTACGACACACCCGCTCATCTGTTTATCTGAGGTGTAATACAAGAATGTCTGGACAGCCTTGCATTATGTTGCCATTCTTGCCTATGAGAAGCTGTTGAAAATGATGTCAGCATTGGCACCAACAAGATATTGCATCACATCTATGTAGTTTCGAGGACGACCTTTGCAGTTCAGAACAAGGTCGATTTTGGCAAAATCTTCCCTGAATTACTTCATTGATGTTTAGAGCAATTGTGTGAGACACGAAACCTACGGCGTACCGCAGGTTTTGATAGTGTAGTATCCCGTGAGTAGAAATACAAAACAATAGGTACGAAACCATGAAACCTGCGGCATGGAGCAGAATATACAGCTAGGAGGACGACATATAGTAATTCTGGACAAGACAGGGTGTTGTCAAGAACAGGAACGTGCTATATGGCTATTCTAAAAGAGCCAGAGGCTGAGAAACTGGTGTGGTCTGGGTGTCTACCTGCCGATGATAGTACCAAATAAGGTCAGACGATGTGTAAGGAGGCTCAAGACCGTACAATTCAGTCCTAAGTTCTGCGAGCCGTCCGTTTGCAGGACACTCCAGTGAATCGTATATGAGAAACGCCATCTGGGTAACATCCCACTCGCTCTGCACCAGTTCTGCCATACGCAACCAGTCTGCGGCACGGCTCGGAGTGGCATCGAGAGTGCGCGTGTGGCACTCCCCGAATTCCGTCCGAATCCGTTCAATATCGCGTCGCTGATCAGCACTCAATTCTGCCCTTTCTACACGTAAGGAAGCATGTTCACGCTGTGGAACGTACCACGGCCGCAATGTAGCCATGCGCTCGAGCTCCTCCTCCTCTTCCTCCCAGGCGGTGTTCTCCACTCGCTCTAGTCGTTGGAGTCGGCGCCCGTGACAAAACTCGCGTCCAGGTGGAAGATCGTCGTCTGGTATGTCGTCATCGTCGTAGTAGTAGTTGTGAGGGTCGCCAAGGCAGTTGTCCAAAGGATCGAAAGTCATGGCTACTTCTCGATCAACAAACGGCTTTAGGATGAGGCTTGGGCCGGGGTAGTCTTCAGTGTCTGGAAGGAAGACACGGGGAGGAAGGGATCTATAAAATGCACGTGGCCAGCTGATCTTGTCCCGACTGTGCCGGGTTCGCGGGCGATTTAACCCTGGGAGTAGGCAGTAGTGTCGATCGCGTGGCATATATGTTGCCCGAAAAGGGGGACGATGGTTCACCAGACGGACAAAGTCGCGTAAGTGCTCTTGCAACAGCTCGCGAGTCTCTTCAAGTCTCCAGTTGAAACTTTCGAACCGCACGAGTGGCTTGTTGAAAGCCTCTGCATAATCTTGCGCGGCCCAAGACGTGATATGATAGCAAGATGTGTCCGGTGCCATTGCCCAAAGGTCGACGATCGCTTCTACGACCTTGCGCTCGTGCTGACTCAAAGTCGGGCTGAGCTCAACGCACTCGCTCCCAAGGAATCCCCACGCCTTGTTTGGGTCTGCTTCGTGCATGGCTGCCAAAGACATCAGAATTCCACCTCGTCTCGAAGTTGAAGAATCTACTCACGACCTAAGGTTCCCATAGTGCTCAACAACCCGAGCGTGCACAACGGATAATTGCTGTCCATGCAGTTGTCGCACTTCAGAGGCAGCCTCCCATCTTCTTTCGGATATCTGTCGTAGGTGCAATCGAGTGTGCGCCAGAAACAGCCATCGCACTGTGGAGGGGTGGTATCGCTCGACATCACGTTTGTCGCTGATAAAGGTTTGATAGTACGCACTGCACGGGAGAACAGGATTCGTCCGTGGGGAGCAACGGGATTGACGAGGATGGGGTGGGCGTAGTGACTGGTGTCGAAGGGCATACTGATACGGAGAAGCGATCAGGAGAGTAGGTGGGAGTGGACGGCAGCAGTGAAAGGAGCGCGATTGTGGATGCCAGTACAGAGCGACAGATGGGCGTGTTCGAGGCGTGGTCCATTAAGCACGTGGAAGGCGCCTCTTTCAATGACTCTGAAAGTTCGAGTTGCCCCTAGGATATGCAAGATGTGAGTAGTGTGCGAGGTTAGACGCCCCTCAATGGTGCACCTAAATCGGTGTCGGTGCGGTGTTTTCTGATGGGAATACAGCACTGATTTGCGTCGTGACATGAAACCAGCGGTCAACCGCAGGTTTACGCACATATCGAACAATTGTGCGGCAGTCCCGTTTCCCCTGCATCGGTCGTGTCGTGTTTACATTTTCTGGATTCCTATATGCGTTGTCACATTTCCCTCACCTCGCCAACCACACCCTCATCTGCCCTCCTGCCGTTGTACAACCCTGTACCGTCTGCGCTGCACGTCATCCTCCATGTGGCTCCACACCTTCGCGTTGGCTGACCTCGTGTTGCACTTGTTCATCTCGTCGACACCGGCCGTGTCATCCTACCCGTATCAGCGATATCCGTGAGTAGTCTGTACCGTCTGCTGGTCCCCTTGCTTGCGTCTTGCCCTGTGTTCGACCCATGTTGCCCACATATTGCACCCACCTCATCCATATCACCCACACTTCCCACATCGCCCATGCTACCGGTTTCACTGCTAATCTCGTCTGATGTTTTGCATTGAGGATATCATCAATGAGTATATGGCAAGGCTTATAACACGAATACATTTGTGGCCGCGTGATATGAAGGAAACAGTAATGCATGTAGCGGTACAATATCGCGAGGTGTTTGAGTCATAAGCGTGAAACACGCGGAAAGCTGCAGGTTATACGTTCGAAGGCACATTGATAGACACCGATTCCTGTGACGTCTCTAAGAGAGTATTGTACCTGAAACATGCGGTTTACCGCAGGTTTCCGCAGACAGTGTAGAGTACGTATCACATGGCGTGGGGTTCGATATTGGCATTCCCCCGATTACAGGTGAAGTCGAGCCGTGTTGCATGATAAACATAGGCGACACAAGGGGTGGCAGATTCCCGGTTCAAAATGTCTGCAAAGCGGGTGGAGTATACAGCCAGACTTCGTTGCTGGGAGATAGGGCCCTGTGAAACATGTAAGATAGAGAAACGGCAGAGGAACAGGGAACAGACTTTGACGTTCTGTGAGGGACATGGTGAGCGAAAGTTGGATGCAGACGAAAACAAAGGACGCACATAGCGCCCTGTGACGGCTCGGAAGGCGTGGTGGAGGATCTCATGAGAAAGCTCTCCGATACCTTTGCTGGTGTTTTCGTATACATCAGCATGCTGAACGGGATGCAAGGTACGAAGAGCTGTGGGATCGAGATCGTGGACATATGCTAGAAAGGGTTGTCCGGTGATGCGTTCCTCATTGTCGATGATGGTGAGCATGCGACGGTAAACCCAGGCGATGGGACGATCCATGCTGTAGGAGCCGTTGAGTACAAGGAACTCAAGGCGGAGAAGGTTCAAGGCGAGAAGCTGCGCTTGGTCGGCGTAGGCATCCTTAGGAATCTGTTGGACATTTGATTCCATGTGATGAAACTGCACGTTCTCCGTAGCGCTGATATCCCAACAAATCTGGGATTCATCGAAGGCCGGGAATGAGAGTGGGATGTTAGATGTGGAGGTGTGGCGCCAGGAATGGGGATTCGGTCGCCAGGCAGGTGGTTGGTGTTGACGCGGAAGGAGAGGGAATATAAGAGGCTCATGGACGATGAGACAAGGTTCTACGGGAGGGTTGAGGCCGGAGGACTTGATCCATTGCATGACTCGTTGGGAGAGCAGAAGACGTGATGGCATGAGTGGATGGGAGTAATTGAAAAAGGGACGGAGACCGTCGGGGAAGGCGACGGCGTAATCTTGGGAGGCGGATGCGAGGATTTCAAAACGAGTAGGATCGGCGTGAGATGCGAACCAATTGATCATGGCTTCAGTGCAGCGGTGGTCGAGAGTGGATAGAGCGGTTCTGATGTGAAAGCCGTTATAGCCAAGGAAGGCGGAGGCATACATGGGGTCGGAGGTACCGACTGTGAAGAGGTTGATTGACGGGTTTGGAATGGAATGGAGTAAGGAGAGACGTACAAAGAAGAGCGCCTGTGGTGGAGAGAAAGTGGTAGGTACAGCCGTTGCGAACAAGCTTGGCTAGACAGGGATCACAGGCGACTGGGACGAGGTGCGGGGTTGAAGTGGACCAGGTGCAGAGTACTTCGGCAGCTTCGCATTGGTCGCACTTTGAGAAGGGGGGCTGAATGAGTGAGCGGATTGAGAGAAAGAGAAGGGTTCGCACAGAATCGTGGAAGATGATACGGGCAATGAGAAGAGGAGGGAGCATGTCTGAGTGAGTGTAGGGAGGGATGAGCAGGGGGGGAGGGGCGCGAGGGGAAGGAAGATATATTGAACGGAATGAATGTGAGAAGCGAAGAAGCATTTGTGGATTCGGGAAATGGGCCGGTGGGGGCGAAGGGCATGCGGGATGTACGGACCGGGTAGGGGAGATAGGCGGAGCCGATTGTGGGAAGTAAGAGGACGTAACACTGCCACCGGCAAAGGGAGATCGCCACATGGAGAGGGGCGTGAGATGTGGGTCCACGATGTGAGCGTCTGGTTAAAATGAGCGCGAGTGTCCGCACGGATATTATGATTGCAAACTGGGTTGATATTTGAGAGCAAAGCGGCAGTTGTATGAAAACGGTAATGCATGTTGGGTGGTGATTCAAGGGTGTACGGAATGTACAACCATGTGGTGGTGTGAGGATGTGCATTCGAAAGAGACGACAGTGTCGAGATCAGCCGGTGCGGTACGAACGGTGTCGAACGGATGTCAATCAGATATACTTTGAACGGAATATAGACTGCCATAGTGATACGAAACAAGAGGTATGCCGCAGGTTTCAGTGCATGCACAAATCCGGAGAAACGAGAGGATATAATTACAAAGGAAGAGAAGCACCTCGACAGGCGGTAAAACCTGCGGAGATGCGCAGGTTTCGCATGATCAGAGACTCACGTGCCAAGAAGCGATGCACGTGGTGGCAGAAGGACACTTCTCCACGTGATGCTCTGCCTCGTGACAGCAGGGAGAAAACGTTGCGCGGCGCATGAAGTGCTCGGACTCTGTCTCCTGTCCTTCCGTCGCTGCCATATCCAAATCTATTCAATCGAAAACCACAGCATCAACGCACGAAACCATGCCCCCACGCAAGGTTAGCCATCACATTGAGACTGAGAGAATGGGCGAGATCGAGACTGATCTACATCATCAGAAGGCTACAAAGAAGGGGGAGGTGAGTGGGCAGACGGTTACGACGGGAGGTAGTAAGCACATTTCATTCACACTCGTGCGCAGGGTTCGGCCGCAACAGCCGGGGAGACGTCAAGGGAGGGCAGGATACGGCGATGACGCAAGACAAGGCTCGAGAGCTTGTGGAAGAGCAATTGTCGCAGAATCGGGCGGGTGGAAGTGTCGAATCAGTTGCGAATCTATCGAAGCGGGTGGATACGGCAAAGAAGTCGATGCACAAAATGGGGGCCCGGGACGCGGAAGCGTTGAAGATGTCGACGGCGTCGTTCATCGGATACGCCCGCGTACAGCTTCAAGGCAAAGGGGCCATCGAATATAGGACGGGGAAAGCCATCAACCGACGAATGCGTGAGGAGCACGCTCAAGAAATCGCGGACAGCATCGCCTCGCGGGGGATCCTGGACGACAAGGACGAGAACATGATCGTGTTGGCGATGAAGCGACAAGACATCTTGAACGAGAAGACGCTGAAGAAGAAGATCAACTCGGACGAGATCGTTCCAGTGCTTCAAATCGACCTGGAAAGCAAACCGGAAATCGAGCTGCTCGGAGGTCGCCATCGTGCCAGAGCGCTACATATCCGACAGAAGCTGGACATCGCGGAGATGACGAAGCTGACGTTGGTGAAGGCGCAGGCGAGAGCGGCACGCGAGAAGGCGGAAGAAGAGGCACTGAAGGAGTTCAAAGGAGAGGGTCGGGACTCGACTTCGGGGCCGACGCTGACGCAAACGTTGCTGCCGAGCAAGATCGATCTCGAAGAGACCGAACGCGCTCTCCAGGCGCAGTTGCAGGATTTGACGGAGCGGGTGGTGGCGACGGACTTTTGGACGGCGAAGGTGTACGACATAGGTGCGTGTGTTATGATTTGTGGTGGTCTGAAAACGAACGCTGACTCGGGCGTTAGAAAAGCTCACGCCAGACGCAATTACGTTGCTGTCGACGAAAAAGCAGGAGGCGACGTTCGGAGAGGGGCCATGGGAACGGGTGTGGGTGTGCGCCCGCCACCTGCGCGAGAAGCTCTTCGAACGCGACGTCAACTTGGAAGGCATTACAATCGGGTCGTTCAAGTGGGGCCAGGTGCTCAGCAACGACAGCTTCATGCCGCGGACGTTTACCAAAAACAACCACATCACGCCAGTGATGAACGATCCACTGGTCATGTCGCTCCTCCTCGAACTCGCGGGGTGGACGTACTGGCACACCGAAGACGTTCTCGACCCGGCGATCTTGCGAGGGTTGATCACGAAGCCTACGTCGACTACGGGGCTCCAACAGAACGGACACGTGAGTCGGTGTTGCTGCTATCGAGCGCGAATGGGCTGACCGTTGCGGCGATCCAGTTGGCCATTGAGCTCCTTCTAGCGGGCGCAAAGCAACTGAACTTCCTCGCGTCGACATGCTCGGTGGAGGCGACCAGTGAGGTGTGGACGGCGGCGACCGACTACATGAACATGGGGCGTCTTGTGATCGAGGAGGCGTCAGCAATCGCGAAGGAGCACAGCGGAGAGAAGATCCGGTCGACAGGTTTGCAACACCTGAAAGACTTCGTGACGCCGCGGACATCTGGCGAATCGTGAAGGACCGGTCGCTGTTGACGTGTCCCGAACAGGACGTGTTCCTCAACTCCGAGCTCGAGGCGATCGACGCAAACTATCGCGAATACATACGTCCATACGTCGAGCGCGAGAACTGTCTGGGTAACCACAAGGACGAAGGGTATGTGATAAGAATGCGCCAGCACTGGCTGTTCGTACACGTTACTTGTCGTGATCGCTGGGCGAAGGAGATCAAGAGGCTTTGCCAGGAGTTGGGCCGGGACGTTCCGCTGGGTGTGGCCGTTGCGGCGATGCCGAAGAAGACTCCGGACATGTCTCAGCGGACGAAGGATACGGACAAGGCGGCGGAGAAGAAGAAGAAGGCGGCGGAGACCGTTTACAAGACGCGAAGCAAGTCTCAGCGGCTGCTGGATGCGCTGCTGAATGTTCAACAGAAGATGTCGATGCTTGACGACTTTCAGCGCACCGGACTGGAGTTCATGTTACCGCTTCCAACGGCCTCGGTGATAGAAGACGTGTTCAAAATGTGCACACGGACTGGCTGGGCGTTCACACTGGTGAGTGCTTGTCAATGGATCGGACGGACGTATCGGTTATACGGAGATGGGTTGCATTCGTGGAGCCGTGGACACCGCGTTCCATCGACCTCGCTGAAACCTCCGGCGTGCCTCTGAATATCGCTGAATGAAACCTGCGGCACACCTCTGGTTGCATATATCCTGTCCGCCATCGAATCACATGTGTACAGGTGGGGATGCGTGGGCCTCCCGTAACCAGCGACACGCCGCAGGTTTCAGATACCATATGCGTCGTACATCATACACCATACTGACTGTGTACAGATCGCCCGTACCATGAATCCCATGTGCGAGTACATGGCGCATAAATCTGCTCAGCACGTCGTGGACTACTACGACACCATGCGAGTAACATGGATGGCATGGAAATACGTCAAACATCGTGACGACATCTGGACGATCGTATGTATCGCGTTTATTGTTTGCGACAACGCATATCTTACACACGACGTAGTTCATCAACTTCCTGCTCGAAAATCAGAAGACGCTGCGCAAGATCAACATCATCGCGGAGTCACAAGACACCGATCTCGTCAAGTGGATCGGCAAGCTGTCGATCACCGGCGCGTCCAACGTCTGTAACGAGCTCACGAACAAACACGCCCACAAGGTGAACGCTCCAAACGCCTCGACGCTATCCAAACAGGAGACCATCGTACGTATCTGCAATCTGCAATATCTCTTACAGAGCGCCGTCAACACCGAATCCGGAAGACCCATCGTCGTTCCCGCCAACACGCAGGCCCACGTTACCATCGAGACTCAAACCGCCGCGCGGAACAGCAAGGGCATCGGCGAATGGCACCGGGACGTTCTGAAGTTGTTCCCAGAGCTTGCCCTCGTAGAGCCCAATGTCCACAAACTCAACGAGGGTACCACGGTCGAGAGAACTCACATCGTCCCCGCCCTCGCCCTCCTCCTCGTCTGCTCAACCGAGCTCATGTCTTCCTTCGCCGCCGTCCCCTTCCATAGCATTCCCGGGAAAACATTCTTCGACAGCCTACAGCGATTCATCGCGTCGTGGTCTCTCAAATATCAACCGCCGAGAGACCTTTACCACTCGTCCAAGCCCTTCTCTCAAGGCCACTTCTTTGTTTTCCGCCACGTCAACGTGATGCCCAAGGCGCAGCCAGCGATCATCAAAGTGCTCGAAGACGGATTTACGACGGATCCATCCATGTACACTCTGGACGCGACGCAGGAGTACTTCAAAGTCGCCGTCGGACGCAAGCGTGCTGCGAAAGAAGGCCAAGAGCTTATCAAGAAGCTCTCAAAGTCCCTCGCTGCCGCAAACTCCATGAACGTACGCATCGACCACAACAACCGAGTCGTCGTTCAGTCTACGCTCGGTCAGGTCAACTCTGTCGTCACCAAGGCCCTCCATACCTTGGAAACGGTAAGCAGCCTTCACGTCCGCTGCTCCACGTTCTAACGCGCCGTTCCCAGACGTTGACATGGAACGTCAACCGTCTGTTCTCACGCGCGCAGGGCAACGAGGGCGCATGGGTCATGCCTTCCGAGAGCTCCCAACACAGGTGGCAGCTGCCTCCGATTGGTTTCCTTGTCGGAGACGACGATCTCGCCTTCCAGAGCATGGAAGAGTTCAAGTCCCGCGATCCGGAAGGCTATCACGCTTTCCTCTCGGAGTACCGTGAGAAGAACGGCATTCCGGACGACGCCGAGGACGTCGAACCGCCGCAGTCGCTTCGTCCCCAGGACATCACTTTCGTCCCGAAGTCCGCTCCCGAGCTTCTCAGAGAGGTCATGGAGAGCAAGAAGTCCGCCGGCGCGAAAGGCAAAGCGAAGGCCAAGGGAAAGGGAGCGGCGACGAAGGCCAAGGCCAAGGCCAAGGGCAAAGGGAACGCGAAGAAGAAGCGGCAAGACCACGACGGTGACATAAGGATGAACAGCGAGACCGAGGAAGACGACAGCGACGAAAACGATGACGATGACGACAGCGACGACAACGACGACGGGGTCCGCGACGGGTCTGATCTCGACGACGCTCAGAACCACCTGGTTCCGCCCGACTCGCTTCAAAGGTCGACCCTGCGAATAGGATCTGGGGTATATACCCTCCTCCCGATGTCGACGACCCTATGGCAAACGTCGGTCACACCTCACAGTCTTCAGAGGGTCCTGCGAAGACCTCGAATGCCCCCGCTCAGACGCCCCACGTCCCATCGTCAGCGAAGCCGCGTCCTACCCACGATCGCAAAGGTAGGCTGATCCCGGTCGTCGAGATCACACGCCACGACCACGGCAGGACAGGAGGTGACGAGGGGGTGGCCACTGTTTCGGAACCGGCGAAAGTCCCCAAGATTGTGAATCCCAAGTCTGTTCGTCAGGCCACTAAACGTATGTCGGTGACTCGCCGCACTCGCCTGGTTCCTATCATCCCCGATCCAGAGACCGAGGAAGACGAGAACGCTTCGGAACCTGACGACGACGAAGGGTACCGCGACAGCAACGATATGCACGACATTGAGCACGAGGAAGATGTTTCGTTGGACCCTGAGCCACAAGCGGACTACGACGACTCAAGCTCCAGCGCGCATGACCAGATGGATGTCGACAAAGCGGTCAACGTCGATCTTAACGCCTCTTCGCAGTCGCCATCCCACCCAGTGTCGTCGCCGGTTCCGCCCTCACCGCCTCTGAACGTTTCCCGCTTCAACGAGCCGACCCCGAACCAGATCGCTCAAAAGGTTGCTGAAATCAACATTCCCGACCCGGACTATTCGCGTGTCGACCTCGACATCACTCTGGGCCTCCCCGATCTCGAGGCCGGTCAGGTGACGCAGCAGCCCCAGGAGAGCAGCCCCGATCAGGATGGTTCTGATGCCGCGACTCGAGGTGGTCCTTCCTAGACGATCGCAACCTCAAACCAGGGATATCGTCCACGCCGCGCCAACGCGTGAAGACTTCAAGAGTTGTTCTAGATTCCGATGAAGGTCGGTGTCTCTCTTTTGCGTAACGTCCGGCTCACCGCAGGTTTCAACGTTCATGGCACCGTCCTCATCGTTCGAAACCTGCGGTTCGCCGTAGGTTTCAATTCTCGATATTGTTGTCGGAATCAGACCATCAAGTTCATGCATTTCATTCGTGTTTTCATCCCGAACCTGCGGAACACCGCAGGTTTTGCCAAAGGCACCCGTCGCGATACCCTCAAACGCGAACGCTCTCGACCTCACTGATCGCAACCCCCTTTCTATATCCACCGTTCGTTTTGTACTGTCACTGACCGTCGTTATACTCTTAGAACCAACGGGCAGTGACAGTGGCGCAGACAACAAGACTGCCAGGGCCAAACGTCTTCGGCCAGCGCGCACCGGTAATCCCTCGGAGAAACAAGACGCTGGCGAATCTCCCCCGAAGGTCGGCACAAGAAGAGGATACGCTCGAAGTCGCCCATGCCTCCCCTCCCCTCCATGGGCGTGCCTGACGTTCCGGCCACTCCTCACACACCCCGCTCATCCGTGCCACCTCTCGATGCCCCACCTCTCCTCAACGCCACCGCCGCCCCCAAGATGACCCGGCGCGCAAGAGCGGCGACGCTGCCACCGATACCCCTGCTGATGGGCCTTCCCGATCCACCCCCGCTCCGACCGGAAACAAGCCCGTCATGCACACCACTCGCCGTAGCAATCGTGGCTAGCCGCCGTCCGTCCGACCTCGTAACTCGCCGTAATTCTCCGTACTTCTGCTCATTTTCCCGTCATCGTACTCTCGTCCTCCTCGCTCCCATGCCCCACCTTCCCATTCTCTTGACCTCCTCCTCCCACTCATGTACTATATATCTGTTTTCCACCTTCCCTCGCGCCGTTGTCGGACGCTCTTTCTCTCACAACCCTCCCATGTACCATATAAATTGCCGTGATCTGCTCCGCGTTTCCGTATAAGCTTCCCTTGCGTTCCCCTCGCGCCATCATCGGACGCTCCTCCCTCTTGCATTCCCTTCCCCCCCGCATCACCCGCATAATCCACTGTCCCGTCCCTCCCCTTGCATACCGCATTCGGATTGGAGTTGTGTCGTCCCGGGGGGTGTATTTGTTTGTATACTGTCTTTTGTACGTCCAGCTGTAACATCACAAGTCGTTGACCCGTCTCTCGCTCGTCCGACTCCAACAAAGTTCTCAACAGCCTCCTGCCCTTTTGCAACAACCGCTTTACACGTTTCACCCTCTCGTCACACGCGCAGTACTCTAACCAGTCCGTTCAGCGCTCCTAAGATGACAGCACTCGGTATCCTTCTATCACCTCTTCCGTTCCACATGTTAATCTCCCATACCCGCAGCAACCACGCCCTCTCCTCACCTCGTTTCAAGGGGTCTCTGCCACGCTCCGGCCACGCCCAATCCAATGTGCACGACTCATCTCCATCTCTTCCTCTCATTTCCCATCCCCTCTCCCCCACATCCCCCTCCTCCATATCACACCACCCACTTCAATCTCTATGTCTCTCGACCCAGACTCCGTTCGTCACAACGCCGAACGTCTTGCCGAACTCGTCCAAGACCCCTCCACCCACGAGTACGCTGAAAGGAACAATCGGTAAGTCGCGCCCCTTATCCCCCCCCCCCCCACCCTTCACCTGCCCACCCAACATTTTCCGCCTCTCCCAAGTCGTCTCGGTCTTCGCGGCGTCGGCGACCAGGCCTACGAGGAGACCCAAGATGAGTTGGACGTCCAAGGGGCTCGAACCGTCGTCTTGGGCCAGGTCCCTCTGACCTTGCAAGCCGACGACGCCGTCCCCCAGGATTTGATCACCTCCTCTATCTCCAGGGAACGCACCGGTGCGACCTTGCAAGGGAGCGAATACCATGACACCCCTCTCCAACCCCTCGACTACGCTTGGCTTAAGCGACAGAGCGAGGAGAAACGCACCGCCACCCTCCAGCGATTGCTCCATAAAAAACATCGTCTCGTCATAGGTCAAGACCTTTACTATTTGCCCGACGACGAACGCTTGCAATTTGGACTCAAGGAGGTCAGTTCCGCCCCTCCACCCCAATTTCATCACTCCATCTCATCACACCACCCAGACACGTCTCGACGCCGAAATTCGCATACCATGCAACATCGGCTTCGGAGCCATCTTGCCCAGGCCCGAGATGGTCCGACGCAGCGTCCTCTTCAAAGAGTGGTCCTTGACCGTGGCATTCGACGGCCAAGGCTTCGCATTTCGAGGGTCTCGCCAAGCTTTCCCTTTTGATCCTGCCGGTCGTATGTTGCTCATCGGCCACACCGGCGCAGGCGCTCAAGTCTACATGACCTGGATGCCAAAGGATGCCATGCTCCCCGACGCCCCTCGTCCGTCCCAGTACACCACTCGGCCCACCACCATGCGTTCTGACCTCGCCCGCGTCACATGGGTCCTCGTCGCCTACTTTATGTTCAAGTCTGGCTGCAACGCCACCTACCTCACCAACAGTTATCCCAACATCGGGCCCGACAACACCCTCTCAAGCGTCCTTAGCGTATTGTGAGCTTTCCCCTAGCCTCCCCCCCCCCCTCTGAAACGTGCGGTTCCCCGCTACCTCCAAAATTGGTCCGCTTTCCTTCCTCCGTGATATGTGAAACCAGCGGCGCGATGCAGGTTTTTATAACGGGTGTCCTTGATCGCCTTCTCCTCAATCCTGCGGTCCACCGCCTCTTTCAAATCTTTCATCTCACTATATAACATGTACAAGCTGCCCAAAAACACGCTAACATGTACTACTCCCCTCCCAGGGAACAACGCAACCGAAAAGTTATGCTCAACGTAGAGCAGCTCGCCATGCTCAACCAGTCTATAGTCTCTGGATTCCAGGACTGGTTAGACGGCTGCCCACCGACATACCTCGACATCCCAGAGCTACGTGACGCCATCCCAGCCGCAGTCTACGTCAAGTACGGACAAGACCAGGTCGTTTGCGACGGTGAAACGTTCGACGCCGACAAGCAAGCTTGGGCGGAACAGTACAACATGGCTGAAATACACAGCTTGGGCGTTGCAATCACCTCCCATGTCACGTAAGTCCATTGCAGCTCCGTCCATACATCTCCCACTCACTTAACCACCTCCCTACAGCGCCGCCCTCGTCCTCTCTCGCGAACAAATTGATCCTGCCGACCTTCTCCGTGCCCACTCGAGAATATACGACACCCCCTATCCCGGTAATAGAACCCTCATGACCACCGTCGAAGATATGAACGCCCTCGATTCCAACGAAAACCTAAAGAACCTCTACGACGCCGACGGTTATCCCATAGCCAGGACCACCGTCGACTACGATCCCGACATGCCCTGCCTAGCCCTCCTCGCCGATCTCAGAAAGACCACAGCATTGCTCTTTCAAAGTGAGTGCCACGTCTCTCTGACTCTCTCTCTCCTTCAAATCTAACCGCGTCCCTCGCAAGGCCCAGAGCACTCCATATACCCGGACGAGGACGCAGAGCCTTCTTGGAATCCCGGAGAGCGTCAAGATTTCTACGTCGGCTGTACCCTCTACGCACAGGCTCTCACACAGACCTGGGGTCAGTGGCAATCGCATGGCGTCACCTATGGCGTTCACAAAATGGTCCAGCGATTGAGCACCAAGATGGCCAGGGTCCCGAACGGCGAGCCTGGGATCCTCTCTCAGTCCTCACAAGGCTACAACACCGCCGTTCATAACGCCCGCGAGAGCAAGAGCACCCACGTCGCTCAGCGCGGTTTAACCACCGGTGCTGCCGCCGGTCCCTGGGCCGTGACTCCCGCCGAAACCACCTCTGCACTGAAGCTCAAGAACCTGCTTGCCGAGTCCATGCCCTGGTCCCGGCTCGACACCCAACTCTCCGGCATCACCGAGACTTATTTCCGGTTCGAGAACAATCACGTCATCATCATGCACAGACTGAAAGCAACATGCACCGATGGCGGTGTCTTTTATGAGGAAATGTTCTTCCCGCTCTCAGAGATCATTCTTCATCCTATCGTCTTTGAGCCTTTGAAGGACACCTTGGTCGCCATGAAACCGAGGGTAAGTCGGATTTCATCTAACAGCTTTTTGACCGGTTCCCTGATATCCGGCGATAGGAGTACGTCAACATGTACAAGCACGTCACAGCACCCCTCCGGGCATGGCAAGAGGCGATCTGGCGATGCAAAATCAAACCGTACCTTGGTGTCCGCGGCGAGCGTCCTTCCCCTGTTTGGGTTGAATGGATCGCAATCTTCGATCGCTTGTTGAACTTTGCATACACCGGCGCAGCAAAGGTTCTCACCCATGGCGCCATGTGGGACCTCTATCTGTCGCATTCTGTGGTAGATCACGGATTTCCTATGCTCTCAAAGCTGCTCGCGATCGTGGGCGGCGTGCCCACCTTTCGGCTCGAGGACTGGCCCGTCAATATGGATACCGAGCAGCCCAAGACCGTCTCCCAGGCGTCGCAACAATACACTTATAGCGTTGGACACTTCTCTGTGAGTTTCATTCTCTCGTGACGTTCTTCGATACCAAGCGACCATACGTGTGATGTACGCACGTCTGTTTCCGCCGCCCGTACGCTGTATGCATATATACGGTCTCGAAACCTGCGGTGTGGCGCTGCATCCCTGTTCTCATGTCTTAGGACCAGGTCCAGACGTGTGTCACGACGAATTCTTTGCAAAACCTTCCGTCAATCAAAGGTTTTTCCGAGTATTCGTCTGCATAACTGTCCAACCGATTTGCTCCAACATCCGATATCGTAAATGCAGAGGTTCACCGCAGGTTCAGCTCCGTCGTTTGCCCAAGTCGCTGACTGTCCCGTGTTTAGTACTTCCTGACAGACTTTCGTCTCGCCCTCGCCCCTTATCACCCGGAGTGGTACCCGGACCGTATCCGAAAAATGCCTCCAGACCAGCGCTCTCTACACCTATTGGGTGAGTTTATATACCTGTCCTTCGCCGACGACGTCAAGGACTTTGTCAAGACGGGTGTCGAGGCTGAGATCAAGGACGCCCTCAACGACAACACCCATCCCGATCATCAGGTAGCTCTCGACCGACGCAACAGTCTCAAACAGTGGCTCAGGCTCAAGCACTTTTGCGGATGGGGGGACAGCGGAGGAAACTGGATCCACCTCATCCGCGCCTTGTCTTCCGAAGAAAGTGCCGTCGCGGCCGGTTTGCCCCCCTCTGGTCGGGATTCCTACTCTCTCCAAAAGTACGCCGAGGATCTCATCAAGCAGGGTTCTACCACAACCCAGCCATTCCGTGCACCCCTTCGGAAAAACAGTCCTCTCGGCCACGCTCTCCGCGTATGCATCAATCACGCCAGGCAGCTACTGCAATCCTCTTCCACCCAAGATCAGAACGTCACCCTCCGCCTCATCCTCGTCTCGACTCTCAGGTTTCACCACGTCAACTTCATCCCCGACGTCCCTCCCTCTGCAACCCCCGGTGGACCTCTCCCTGCCAACATCTCCATCCATGCATGGACTCGACTCGGCTCCCCTCCCACTCCCATCGAAATGGCCACGTCCCGCGTTTGCACTCCGAGGGAGCAAACCGCTCTCAGGGTCCAAGCCTTGCACGACCAGGAGGTACTGGCCGACGTCAACACCGATTGGTCTATCAACGAAGTCACCCTGTTCGACCTCCACAAATTCGTCAATCGCCAGGCCCCTCCGATCGAGTTCCATATGAGCAGTCAATCCGCTCTCAAGGACGAGATCAAGGAGGTCTACGACTGGGCCTACACCGAACTCACCAATAATTTCGGTCATTGGTCCTGTCAACTCGCTTTCTTGCTCGCCTATATGCTCAGTCGCATGCTCCCCAACGTCAACTGGACCAAGGGTTCCGCCTATAACTTCGGCAGGCTCACGATGACCTATATGAACAACACCTCTTTGGCCAAGACCATGTTCCAACAGATCCCCTGGGTAGCCGGGGAAAACTCCAACGGTAACCACGGCTTCACCGACAACAAGTCCTACTTCACCTGCGCAATCATCGTCATCCTCTCTTACATGCGTCGCGACTCCATGTTCTACCAGTGCCTCGCAGCGGACAACAAATTTCACGGAAAGTGGACCAGAAAACACGGTTCGTCCAACCGCTACCTCTCCACTCCACTTCGCCTCGTTTATTCCCATACCACAGCTCCCAAAGCGTTGGGCACCGTCAACTGGTACCGTATTGGCCTGTGCAACACCGGCGGAAATCGCTTCAACAACTCCGGCTCCGCGTGTTTCAACAAGGACTATCATGTTTTCGAGGAGGTGCATCTACAACAGTACTATATGCGTCTTCGCGGCCACCTCTCCAACCTCCAAGTCGGCCCGTATCTCTTCGCTCTCGAGGTCGTAGGAGCAGAGGGGTGTAAAGTCCTCACGGATAAGGGTTTGATGAAAAGCGATTATACAATGTATGTCGAACCCGTCGGTGACGCTAACAAGCTTAGAAAGTTCCCAAATTCATTGTAGTATATATACCAACGACCTCTCTTTCGCCGTATTTACAAAGACCTTGTTTTACTTCCATCTATGTCTGTAGACTGGCGGTCCACCTCACGTTTTGCACCCTATGCAGTATTCACTCTTCACGTGCGTCGTTTTCATGAGATTCCGACGTATATTTCGTGTGTGCAATGAACATCCGAAACCTGCGGTACTCCGCAGAATTTCAACCCGTTCAAGGTGTGCAATATCAATCGTATTCAAACTTACATCGTAGTCCGGCGCCGTACATGTTGCATTTATTCCTGAGATTCTCTGATGACACACATATGGGACTTTCACTAAACCAGTATCTACGCCAACAGTGTTCTCGAAACCGCAACAGTCGTATGTACACTAACGCGAAAGTCGCAGCTTACGGGAGACCGGCATGCCACCCGGCTCCCCCTGCCTTCAATAGTTCTAGTTCTCACCCGTGGCGTTGCCACAGCGCGTGTTGGCCTTCGCCCTCGAGACACGACGTCAGGCAGATATTTGAGAATGTTATAAGTATTACTCACAGTAATTTTGCAAAAACTGGAGTGTCCGCTACAAAGGGGCGTGCAGAGATTTTCTCAAAATGCTCTCACGTGTGTTGGTCGTGTGGACTTGAAGGATCCCTTGAAGGTGAAGGAGGCAGTTACCCCGTCACGATAGTGCGGGTTGTGTAATCAGTCCCGCGGGGCACCTGTTCGGATAATCGTGGCTCTACCCGCGAAGTGAGCTGGCCTCCCAAGCAGCTTTAGTAGAATAGTGATTGGCGTCGAAGGGTATACTGCCAACCGCTGGCAACATTGGGAGAGCAGATGGGTGTGAATGACGGCAGTGGAAGAGCGTGATGGTGGATGCCAGCATAGAGGAACTGAGGGGCATTTTCATGACATGGTCGGTCTAAAACGATTCCAGCACCTCGTGCATTGAGCCAGTGAATTGGTGTCGCCACTAGAATACAGCTGCGGTCACTAAGTTTGCACCGAGCGCTGAATGTGCGACGCGTGTCGCGAAAAAGGGACATTAAATCAAAAATCACCCAAAAATCGCCAGCTGGCCGTGTTCGTCCTCTGCCTCACTCCTCCTTCTCAAAACACCTTCGGCTGGCCGTGGAAACGTGGGCACGCCCACAAAAGTGCAATATCAGCTGGTTTTGTGCACACCGAAGGGTATTGACACCATTATAGCATGCAGGTGCAACATTCCGATGAGATCGACGGTTCCGACCACGACACTGAGCCTGCGGATCCCTTCGACGATGACGGGAAAGTCGATCCCAATCTTTCCCGCTCATGGAGCGGCATCAAATGGGACCTGGAAGACGTGCACATCGAAGATGCAGCCACCAATGTAGATGGTGATGATGATGAGCTTTCTGCTGAGTCGGAGGAGGGTTCTCATGCTGTGTCGCATGTTCTTCATTGGTGTGCCCGCTCTGACGAGCCAATAGCCCCAATCCAACCCACAGATAAACTTCTCATACGCCTTCCACGCCGACCCAAGCCGTCCTTGCAGCCTAGGGTTCACCACGGGTGACCCTCGGGTGATTTTGACTAGACCCGCACCCGTACTACCCGCGCACACCCGCACCCGTAGACCCGAGGGTCAGCTTGCACACGGGTAGGAAGGGTATCTCACGGGTGTGCACCCGTGGCAGGCACCCGTGGGTGAACAGGATAGGCTAGGACGGCAGTGACTCGATGCTGCATACGAGAGTGTGCATGCAAGACCGCGCGCGAGACAGTGCATGCGACACGATGCCAGCGCATGCGTGAGACGGTGCGCACGAAACGGTCCGCAGGAGACGACACAGTGAGCGACTCGATGGCATGGGCGAGGTGGCACGTGCGAGACGGTCTGCAGGAAACGGCATGGGCGAGACGGTGTGCTGGGCGATGTGACAGCGAGGGCAAGATGGTGTGGACGAGAAAGCGCGTGCAAGGGAGATGGCGCGCTCAAGACGGTGCGCACGAGGGATACCAGGCAGTATACGTACATGCATTCTAGTCCGACATCTCATTGTCCGATGTGTCGATGTGATCCCAATCATCATCCATCTCATAGTCTGAGCCCACCTCATCGATTACATCGAGCTTGCCCACGTTTTTCAAGACGTTCTTGTCGATGAGCTCAAGCTCGGACCAGGCTCCGAGACACAGCAGAGCGCGCGTCGTCTGCGCGGACATGCGGTTGCGCGTGTAGGGGATGAGGTGCCAGCCACGGCTGAAAATACGTTCAACATCAATGGAGGTAGCTGTCAGAAGCGTGGAGTAAGCGCAATGGTCATGGAAAGAGTGGAGCAATGAGGACGAACCTGGGATTGTGAGATAGTCCAACGCCATGCGGCTGAGGCGAGGGAAGCTGCTTGCGTGATCTTGCCACCACTGGTACCGTGAGGGTTGCGTGGCAATGCAAGGTATCGTGTGAGTTCGTCGCGGGTACTAGGGGCTGCAGACTTGGTGAAGTCCTCGGGCAAGAACGACACAGAATCGAACATGTTCTTGCTGCTCCGGCCGTCCTTCTGTGGGAGCACAATGCGACATGAGTAACACGGCAAGAAGAAGAGCGAACCAATGGTGACGTACTGGTGCAGTATTGTTGGCCTGACGGTCCGATTCTATGGGATCCTCCGAGTTGGAAGCCGCATGGGTGTCAGGAGCATTGTTCGAGACATTGAACTCGTCCTGGACGAGCTCAATGGCCGTCTCAATCATACCCTCGTCCCACTTCAGGGCCACGAAGTAGTCGTCCTTGTACGTCGAGTGGAGGACTGACAAAGCACGTTGTAGTCAAACGAAGTAGCGCAGATTCTAAAACACTCAGTCATAGCCCAATACGGTACGCCTCAACAGAGTCGGTGAGGTCGTAGTACTTGTGGAGCATCTGCTTTGCGAAGCCGAACACGGCACGGATAGCAGGGTCGTACGGGACCCTTGGCCGGAACAAGCTGCCCGGCTGGTTCTTGACAGTGAGCTCTTTGTCAATCTTGTCCATGACCGGAATGACGTGGGCGAGGTTGGGCGTGTCGCAAGAGAAGAACTCAGTGGCATCCTTGAAGATCTAGTGTGCCAACAATGAAGCAGAGAGAGAGAGAGAGAAGCAGGGGACCCGGGAGTGTGAGGCGAACGTTGCAGAAGTCGACAAACACGCATGAAAGCCGCCGGTGGACAGACCGTGAGTATCAACTGTACAGCTGCTAAAACAAGGTTCGCACCTTCAGCGCGTCGACGAGCTGCTCTGTGATGAGCCACTCGTGTGGGGTCAGTGCAAACGAACCCAGCACATCACTCCCCTCATCTGATGCACAGAACACCGCGATGGGTGTGCGCACCTCAACAGCTGTATCAACCAAGGTGAGTGTAGAGTTCCATTGAGTGCGGACGTCGATAGGGATGACCTGTGCTTTGAGCCCGAGTTGCGCTAACAGCTTGTTCCACGCAGGCATCAAGACGGTCGGGGACCCCTTGATCTTTACGGCAATGTTGCGAAGCTGTGGGCAAACAGGGTCGAGGTGAGTTTATGCTCTACAAATGATCGTCCGTACGCCAACCTTGGCTAGGGTCTGCCAGACAGGCACGACATTCTGGAGGAACGCCTCCATCCCCTTCTCTGTCAACTTCCCCGCGTCGTCCACCCAGTCGTCCTCGTTCCCGCCATACAAGATCTCTGCATCCCCATCAAGACTGCGGTTCTCTTCATTGAGCTCGACATCCGATCCCTCTGCCACCGAATCATCTGGGTTTCGGTCAGTCATAAGTAGGTGTGTCATGGGACGAGTCTAGATTAGATTAGATATGTTAGCGTAATCTCTCTCTCTCGTCCGGATCAGTTCTTTGTTCTGTTCATGTATATAAACGCGCTCCGCAGGAGCGCGGCACGATCCTCACTCTACTCTTTACCACCATCAGTCCGTGTGTGTTTCTTTGTCCGTTCGTCCGTCCCTTAAGTCTCGTTCATCGCGTCGCCTCGAACACTCGAGCGACGATCCAAGGGCTGTAGCCTTCTCTCGAAGAGCGCCCTGTCTGAACAACTGATTGACTACGACGATCGTCAGGAGGAATCCTACGAACCGCTTCGCTGGAACTTAACAATTGGTGGACACCCCGAGTTCCTCTCTCGATCGTCTCTCACCATGGCTCAACGTAACAACAAGAAGAAGAACAATCGTCATCAATCTATGCCCCAACCAACTACACCCTCGCCACAACTCGCTGCTCCCACTAACGGAGTCATCAACGGCCACGAGCCGCCGGACGAGACTGATCGTCGCCCACCCGAGACAAAGACACCCACTCCAATTTCATCCCCTACCCCGATCGTTTCGCCGACTCCAATCACCATTCCACCTCCCAGGATCACAGTCGAGACGAAGTGGCCCGGCGAGAACCTTCACACACCCCGGACATCGTCTCCATTGAGCACCGTGCACTCGGGAGTGGCATCAGTCGCACGGGATGGGTTCTTTGACATCACGAGCGCCACGGAAACACATGCCTTAGAATATCGTGCGGACAGAGTTACCTCAATCCACGGCTCCGTCTACGACTATATCGGCGATATCTTGCAAGACCTGGAACGCAAGAAGTTCGTGATCACCGCATTGAAGGCTGGCCATGAATACACAGGACGACAGACACTCCGACCCAGCAAACAGAACCATCTCCGACTCGTCCTCGGAAGCGGAGTGTTTCGCAAGGAACGTTACCTTCTCCTTGACATCGTGGCCTCTCCGCGCATGCTAGCAACGAGGAAGGATCGTCTCTGGCCTGATCCTGTCGACATGGACGAGCTCGCCCTCATGTTGGGACAACGTCGCGCGGAAGCCGCTCCATCCTTTGTGATCGCCGATAGACGACTTCCGCTTGTTCCCGTTTGGGGCCGAGACAGCACGACCTGCATGCGGATGCATTCCGAGAGTAATTACGACATCCTGTCTGTCTGCTTTCAACGCGAAGTCGAAAGTTTCCTACAAACGTTAGCCGACGTCCACACCTTCACTGAGAAATCCGAGCAGCCCGACGATGACGACCTGCCTGCTCTGCGACTCGGCGAACCCGAATCCGTGAACGAATTCCGCCCTCCTTCCCCCGTCAACGGCTTACGCACACCAAACGTCACCTACCAGCAGTGTGCCGAAGAACACTCACTGACGCGGGAGGAACCTCAGACGAAGTTCTACACCCCCGCAGGGATGCCCGAAAAGTGGCCGACTCCTGCCAAGGAGATCGTGGGGAGAGCTCTCACGCGAGCACAAGCCGCACTCTCGACGCAAGGCGCACTACGGCAGCATGAGGTGTCTGAGATCAAGCCCGTGGCAACACTGGCTCGTCACGAGTATCCCACAGATACGACGTCCCTCCGGAATGAATACCACGAGGAGTACCCACCGATACTCCGTGATGCACCTCCGCATCTCGTGAACATTGTACCTATCGCACCAATAGAACACAAAGCAGAGACGTCACGAGGAGACACGCAGGCTCGCTGGGGAGGATCACTCCAAATACATCCACCTGTGCACACCGCAGGACTGCAACAGATATTCGGGCAGGAGGATCAGCCTCGAGCACCAGAACCGCGTATTGCGCAGTCATTGACGTACAACGCGGACTCGAGCTGGATGAGCACCCCGTCTTCAATCCGCGTGACGACTTCCTCTGATCACGAGGCCCATCCTGACACGCGCGTGGACCGTTCCTCTCCGGGCAACGTGATTCACCCACACCAAACTGCGGGGACCCCGACGCAAACAGAGCGACCAACGGGAGCCTTTTGGATGGAGCGCCCCACAGCTCAAACACCGGGACTGTTCCAACCACACACGATGGGTTATCACTCCGCGACCTATGACACGAAGAGGAGTACCTCGCACTCACAAGGGCTATACTACGGCGATAAACACCAGTACTATGGGGTTCGATACAATGAACAGACCGGAGGAGGACCTCCTCACGGCGGATCGCCCAGTGGAGGAGGACCTCCGTTCAACAGCCCATCGGGAGAGAGAACCCCGCGTGACAGACTCCCTGGCAGAGGACCCCCGCACGACGGACCTCCAGGAAGAGGATACCCGTGCAGCGGACCACCCGGAGGGGGAGGACCTCCAAGCGGAGGATCACCTGGAGGAGACTCCCCTAGCGGAGGCCCACCGAACAACGGACCACCAGGAGGGGGTCATCCATACGTCGGACCGCTCGGAGGAGGACCACCACACCGTGGACAACCTGGGGGAGGACCTCCACACGGTGGGCCGCCCGACGGAGGACCTCCGCACGGCGGGCCACCGGGGGGAGGACCTCCTCACCGCGGACCACCAGGAAGCGACGCGCGCGACACAAGGGGAAACCCACGTCCTGATGGAGGGAAGTCATCCCTTGGAGTACGCTTTGACATGAAAATGAAAGTCACCGAGGTCAACACATGGGACGGAGATACCTCCAAGCTCGTCAAATGGCTGATCTACATCAACGGTCTAGCCAAGATCTCAGCGGACGTACAGGAACAGCTAGGACAGGTCGTACCTCGACGACTGGTGGGTCGCGCAGCAGACTGGTACGACTCCCTTCCGGAGGATCTTCGTAGGTGGTGCGAGCTGGATTGGTCGAATCTGCGATCAACAATAGGCAAATACTACATGAGCCCATCATGGATGGAACGCACCAAGAAAGACGCAATCGCTGCAAGGTACCGCGACAAGGGCCACGAGAAGGAAACCCCAAGCGAATACTTCATTCGCAAACGCGAACTGATCCTCTTGACGATGCAAGCCAACGACCGAGACATCATCAGCTATATCTCGGAGACGGTACCGACAGCGTGGCATACCGGTATCCTGCGCTGGTCCGACTACAGAACCGCAGCCGAGCTCCAGATGGACATGCATCTGAACGAGGAGCATCTCATGAAAATGGAGACCTTCATGGGAGAAAGAGATTCGTACTCACACAACCGACCACATTGGAAACCATCCGCACGCGTAAACGTGGGCACAAGCGAAAGAGCACCAACCACCAACGACTACCCATTCCCACTCGACCGCTCGGTCTCGAAGAACCCTCCGGACGAGCGGGGCCGCCGACCGTGCCGTCACTGCGGGAATCCGAAGCACTGGGACCGAGATTGTCGACATGCGCGCAAGGGCGAGAAACTGGCACGGGTGAACCTAGCGAGAAGTCCTCTCAGCGACACTGAAAGAGCGGGTGAGCAAGAGTATGAAGAAGCTTACTTCGAGTCCATGGACGACGACAACGACGACAGCGATGCAGGGACACCCTACCCTTCATCGACGGATTTTTGAGCGCACCCTCGGCCTCTGACGCCTTTCCTCCAGATCCTGGAAAAGCGCCGTCACGTTCGAGGGAACAGCCTGCGGTAGAAAGTCAGACCTATATCGCGAGAACCCAGAATGCCGTGCGTCGAGAACAGGACAATTTCGACGCTACCTTCTGCTCCGCTTTCAAAGCCCATGCTACGGAAGAAACCGACAACGTCATACCTCTCAGGAAGCATATGACACGACCGCCAGGATGTACCTTCCTCGGCGCACAAGCCACCACTCTTCCAGTACACCTCCACGACCCACACTCCACTCCTGTCTCTGCTATCATCGACTCCGGCTCCGACATCACGCTCATATCACAGCGAGCGTTAGAAGCAATACCTGACGGACCGCGGCCGCGAACAGGACAGAAGATACGATTAGTACAAGTCACAGGCAACGCAACGATTACCGGCTACGTACCACTGGATATCTATTTCGCCACTCAATCCCGGAGTCTCGTCAAACTAACCGTGGATGCCTACGTTGTGAAAGGCATGACGGCACCCTTCCTACTGGGAAACGACTTCGCAGATCAGTATTCCGTATCCATATTGCGCGAAGAAGGACGTACCCGCGTAACCTTCGGATCATCAAACTTGTACGCGGACGCTCAGAACTCGGTCGGGCAGCCAGTCCTACTCGACGAAGAAGGGCGATCCTTCCGGGTGTCGGCAAAGGTAGACGTCGACGAACCCGAAACCCTGAAGCCTAGCGAAGAAGTACGAGCGAAGGAGGAGACTACCATCGGTCCTGGACAGTCGAAATTAGTGGAAGTGACAGCCAGCTTCGAGGAACACGGCTCACCACTTCTCGTCGAACGAATGTTCAACTTCACGCGGAATGTCGAAGACGTTTACGGTGCACCGGACACGCTGATCTCCTCAGCATGCCCACGGATTCCAGTCGCGAACTTCTCGTCGTTCCCAGTCAAGATCGGAAAGGGGCAATTACTAGGAATTGCGCGCGCACCAGAGCAATGGCTGGATCACAAGGGTAGTTTCTCCGTGGAGGAGATAGATCGCATGACTGCACACGCCAACCTAGTACGACATCTTGTCAGTCAACAACTTCACGACAAAGGGGTCGGACTTACTCGAGCAGAACCCGAAGGCGACCTAACAACCGCACGAGCTAGCAAGGACGTGGGAGAGGATCCACTCGCAGAGGAACCTCTGGAAGGCGGACCAAAGACTTCCGAACCACCACCGGACGATGTAGCGCTGGAAGAATTTCTGTCGAACCTAGACATCTCGAGCGAAGTCAGAGGGGAGGATAGACAACGTCTCGTGGAAGTACTCACCAAGAACCGAGCTGCCTTCGCCCTCGACGGACGGTTAGGGGAGGCGAAGAACACGGAATGTACAATCCCACTACGAGCGAACGCCAAAGAAGTCTCATTGCCACCATTCCCTGCATCCCCAGCGAAACGCGAAGTGATCGATCAGCAAATGGACAAATGGCTAACACTGGGGGTAATCGAACCGTCAATATCACCCTGGGGAGCCCCTGCCTTCATCACATACCGCAACAATAAGCCTCGCATGGTTGTTGACTATCGTAGACTGAACGAGATGACCGTTCCGGACGAATTCCCATTACCGAGACAAGAAGACATCATGAAGGAACTGTCCGGAGCACAATGGCTGTCGACAATGGATGCCCTGTCAGGGTTCACACAGATCAGCATCGCAACGGAGGACAGACCCAAGACGGCGTTCAGAACTCACCGAGGTCTATATCAGTTCACGCGAATGCCCTTCGGCCTACGAAACGGGCCGAGTATCTTTCAACGCGAGATGCAACGCGTACTCGCTCCCTTCCTATGGATTTTCGCACTCGTCTATATAGACGATATCATTGTGTATTCAAAGACCTTCGGCGAACACGTCACCCACCTCGATCATGTCCTCCTAGCCATAATCCTCGCGGGCTTGACACTATCACTCCCGAAATGTCACTTCGCGTATCGTCAACTGCTCCTACTAGGTCAGAAAGTATCACGACTCGGGTTATCAACGCACCGAGACAAAGTACAGGCCATCCTTGATCTCGCACCGCCCAAGAACACAGCAGAACTGCACACGTTCCTGGGAATGATGGTGTACTTCTCGTCATACATACCCTTCTATGCGTGGATAGCGGCACCACTCTTCAATCTCCTGAAAAAGGAACGCGAATGGGAATGGGAAGACGTTCATCAAGAGGCGTTTGAGCTGAGTAAACAAGTACTCACGCAAGCCCCCGTTCGCGCACACGCTATGGCTGACCGTCCATACCGTGTATATTCGGACGCCTGCGACTATGGGTTGGCGGCTATCTTGCAACAGATCCAACCCATAGCCATACGAGACCTGAAGGGGACCAAGTTGTACGACAGACTGCGACAAACATACGAGAAAAAGGAACCCATACCTTCGCTCGTAGCGCAAGTTGCCAAGGGAGATCCGGACGTCCCTCCGACAGGTGACTGGGCAGAGGACTTCGAGGACACAATCGTCCACATCGAACGCGTCATAGCGTACTGGTCACGAATCTTGAAGCCAGCAGAAAGAAACTATTCCGCTACAGAGCGCGAAGCGTTAGCACTGCGAGAAGGACTAATCAAGTTTCAACCTTACATCGAGGGCACAAGCCCGATCCTTGCGATCACGGACCACGCGGCGCTGACCTGGGGGCGTTCTTTCCACAATGTCAATCGTCGTCTGCAGACCTGGGGAACGACGTTCGCTGCATTCCCCGGATTGCGAATCGTACACCGAGCTGGCCGAGTACACTCCAACGTAGACCCAGTCTCACGCCTTCGTCGACGCGTACCAGAACAGCGAGGGCCAAACGAGTTGGATGGTGTGGTACTTACATTGGGAGAACAAGCGGAAGACATTCTGAGGAACGCGTATGAGGAACTGGGTCCAAGGTTTGAGGAGAAACTGCTCACCGTTGCGTCCAAACACGTCAAGACCCTGAATACAGCAAATATCAGGGCCATCAACGTCGACACGGCAGTCGAGGACGCATCCGACCTGCCCAACTCGGGATACTGTGCCGCGACTACGCACTCGCTGCTGATTGGTTTTGCACCGGAGAACGCGGAAGCGTGGAAGCTTGCCTACCTACAAGACGAGTATTTCACGTCAGTATTGGCAGCGATACGAAACGACGATCCCGAGAAGCCTACATACTCTCAGTACTACCTCAGCGACGACGGGCTCTTGTACTTCGAGGACTGGAACGGGGCGAGCAAGCTGTGTGTACCGAAGGAGCTACGCACACAAGTGA